TATATTCGCAGCTCCAGGCCACGATTGATTAAGGCGACGTTGACATCGGTTTTGCGGACCGAAGAAGCGGAAGATAGGACTTGGGCAGAGTCAAGAATTCTGCTAGGCTAATTCCTTTTGCTGAGAAAGCAAAGCGGCCAGCGAAGATGCAGAAATGCCGTTGGTGCCAGACAAGCGGCCTTGAGAGGAGGTGTGTCGCCAATGGATAGGACAATCGAAGAAGTGCGCCAATCTGAAACAGTCAAGGGTCGGAGTGACAAATGGGCTTCGTGCAACCAGTAATTATGTGCTTGTCCAAACAATCTCCACAAAACCGTTACTGAAATAGTTGATATTGAATTGCAATTGCTAGATTCGCTGTCCCTTGAGAATTATTGCTGCCGTCTCTGTGTACTCATCTGATGTCAGTTCGAGTTCTCATCGCGGTTAGATAGCCTAGGTCACGGGATCTGGCTGGCTGAGTGGACGGTCTTGGCGCAAAGACGTTACAGTCTTGGCAGGGCGGGCGGACAAGAAGGGATGGCATTTTTGTATGCACGGCGGTAATATCAAAGAATCAATTGTCGGAAATTATTTACCATAGTGTGGGAATAGAGGTCAATACTACTAGTAGTGTTTACCAGGAGGCTCTCTATCTCCGCAGTACGGCGTGGTAAATCGTGGTCCAACTCAAGCTAAAAATACAATTGGAAAATATAATAATAGGTTTGTTGTATCCTATACAATGCATACCTCCCACAATATCCTCGAACTAAGAATATCTCACAATGGCACTAGATTGGAGGCCCTGATGGCGCTTCAGTTTCAGATTCCTCAGAGGCCCCTATCGCATCTTCCTCCTCTATCAAAGGGATTTCGTCTTCGGATTCACCGCTCTCTTCCGTAGGGCCAGTAGAACCAGTGAAAGCCGCCAGACGCTGTTCCATGGCTTGGTTTTCGCCCTCAGCCCATACCTTCCATTTCTCATATTCTTGATTCTCCAGCTCCATCCCAACAGTATGCATATCTGGCCCGAAATACGCACCCGTTGCCAGGGCCTCCTCCTGTGCAACTCTTCGCTCAACGTCTTCCTGTAGACGTAGCTGGTAGAATTCACGTCGGGCAATTTCATATGCAGCGCCTTTAGACATATCCGGGACATTGTTGAGGAGATATAGTTGCCGTTGTACAACACTGTATGGAAAGCAGAAGAGAAACATTACCAAGTTAGCCATCTTGTCTGCCCAGTTTGTAAATATCTCGGAACCTCAGGTTGGGCAAAGATATAATAATTATCTCAATAGGGATATCCAACCTTTCTCCATCAAGTTTTTTACCCGGTTGTTGGATATTCTGCCAATTGTATCTTCGGTGATCATTTCCGTCATTCTCAAGAACCACTCGTGGTCGGGCAAGCTCCCATGGATGGTCACGGAAAAATTCCTTTCGTAACTGGTCCTCCTCGTATCGTATTTCCTTCGGTTGGAAAATGCGGCTCGGTTTTTTTGAGGTCTGCTTCCGGCCGGCAGACGATTTGATTTCAAGCTGTGGTTTTGACTTCCCCGGAACAGTCCTCATTCGTTGCTTGACGACAGGGTGTGACGGAGCTTGATTGCGAACAAGAATCGACGCTGGAGGAATGTCTGCCAGAACGTCGAGCCAAGGCTGTCGCGTCCCTGGCTTCCCACATTGTGTAGTCGCTAGGGCTGTCCGCCTCACGCGAAGTGCAGTTAAGTTGTATCGTCCCATTGTATAAGCTGAACGGTTTGGTTCCTGAGAGGAACCCTCGCAGAGAAAACGCCTTTTCCTCACTACTTGTGCCGCGCGAGGTAGGATCACTGCCCAGGAACACAATTACACTGTGCGTTGTTAGACAATGAGGACCCAAGAGATAGAGATATTCAACCGAAAAACACTTAAAAATATCAGAAATAACTAACAAGAACTGTAGGCTGCGACTTGTGGGATTCTCCGGACGACATTCAAAATGCTCCAGCGCGAGAAGAAATTCAAAATGTTCGGGGCTTGGCGCGATCCCGCCAATCATGAGCTACTAATCATCCCCAGAAAATTTCCAAACCATCAACGGCGACAACGTCAAACAAATCGGGGACATCGCATCGGTTCTGGCTATTTCTGCTGCGGGCTTAATTGCATTCTTATACAAGCACTCTTATTATTTATTGCTACTCTGCAACGGTTTGGGACTCCGTGACGACTGCTGCTAGCACCTTGTCCTTGGCAGCATCAAGTTAAAGATATGCCCACTTGACCAGAGATGGCACGATGTCAGGCCTCTCATGTCATTCTCTAATAGCTTGGAAAGGACGGCAGGGTTTTGTGCCGTCTCTTAAGCAGGTTCTTCTTCACCCCTCCATTTGCATCCAGCCGAATACGCGCAGCCCGATTTCCACCACCATTCATCCTACTAACGATGCGACTCCAATCATACTTTACAACCCGTACTCCGATTAGCGACTTATTTACCAATTCGCTTGTGTTAGCCGGACTATGCAGAAGACACTCGCCGCGGAAAAGACGGTTTGCAGGAATGTCGAGACACTCGTCTCACGCGGCGATGCCAATGTCTCAGGATATACAGTCGCAAGAGCAGGGTGGTGCCAACAGAAGCAGCATCAGCTTACAAACATCCGATCCGCATGAAAGGGATTCGATTATGTCGCAAGAAGCAACGAAAGGATCTTCCATAGCCATTGATCAGAAATCGCATTCTTCCACGCTACCCACAGACTTTACAATTGACCACGCCGCATTCAGAAGAGCAGCTGCTTCGAAACTTGACGATACCAAACACCTTTTCAGGTTGTACCTTGAGACATTGGGCAAGAAGGAAGGCCTAAAATCCCTCCAGGTTGTGTTATCAAATCCGGCAAGGGAAATATGTTTGCCTCAGAAAAAAAAGCCAGAACGTTATCTTCCCGATGCAACCGAAATCCATGGGGTTCAGCGGCTGGTGGATCTATTGAATGACGAACGCAGCTC